TTGAAGGTATACCTCAGACCCTGAATGATGATCGTTTGTTCTACCAACAAGACAAATTTTGTGATATTGGATGATTTTATGAAAGATGGTAGTAGCAATTCTGAAGTTGAACAAATGTTTACCCAGTATGTACATCACAGAAGCTTGAGCGCCTTCTATATTGTACAAAACTTGTTTTTTCAAGGTAAATCCAGCAGGAACATCAGCTTGAACTTTAATTATTTGGTTTTGTTTAAAAACCCCAGAGACAATACCCAAATGAATATGTTAGTGCGTCAGATACCCCAGAAATACAAAATACTTTATGGAGTGTTATGGAAATGCGACCAGCATTGCTTTCGGGTACCTATTGATTGACTTTAAAGCGAAAACACCAGAACAGTACCGTCTCAGAACATATATATTGTCACAATATCCAGTTGTGTACATTTACAAAAGAAAACATTGACGTTGTTAGAGGGAGAGAGAATTGAAAATGTCTGCAAACTTTTAAGAAACCTACCTCTTTTAAAATTGTTATTAAAAAAAGGTTATTAAAACAAAGACGTGTTATTTTAGAGGCAGCCACAGACAAGCTCCTTGTGACGTTGTGTGAAGTAGTACTTAATGTAGTCCATGGTAATATTTCACTAACACCACAACAACATTAGAAACTGAACAGAAGAAGAAGCGAGATCAAAATTGTTGCAGATAAAAATATTGGAGTTCGACATAAAAGACTTTATGTTGATCAACCAACAAGTAGGATTGTTATTACCGTTATTATCTGTAGCAATTCCTTGTATAACAAGTTTGATTACGTATAAATAAGTTTGGTAATGATTTCCATTACTTGGGGGTAGATGTTAAACTTCATGTTGAATTGTACTCGTTCCACAGTACAACATCCCAGTTGTGCCACAGTTTCAGTGGCAACAGTTCCGTATGGCATACCACCTACTGCAAAACCCAATCTCTGCTCAAACACCACCCGTCATTCACGCAATATACACAGGGACATAAGTTTTTCAAGAATTCTACGAAACTGTAGTGTGCACACTAGTATTTTTAACATTTAATTGTATACATGTATATGCAAGTAATTTATAGGTGTATATGCATGTGTGTTATGTATGTATTGATAAGCGAAGTTTGATTTAAATCCTATCTGGTGCCTATTCATGATATGTTATTGTGTTTCCTCACAGACTTATTTATTTGGCCCATACCTCCACCTCACACCGGCGGTAAGTGTTTTTCAACTGTGTGCATCAAAACATTCTGAGCAAATATCTCTAATGGTGCGTTCACACCGGATGCGAATAGCGCGTCAAGCGCGACTGATTTCAATGTTAAGTCAATGCAAAGACGCGTTACACCATTAAAAATTCCTGCGGCACGAATGATGCGTAGAGCGCGGCGTGGAAGATGCGAATGCGCCTCATTTGTGCGTCAAGTTTGCGTGAATGCCGTGAATTGAGCGTCTGGCGCGTTAAGCGCGAATGATTTAGTTAGTGCTTTCTTTGGCTTTCGTTGTCAATTTCCTGCTGTGTGTCCTCAAACTGGTAACCTGCATGAGCGTTGAGGAAAAAACAATCTCTGATATTTTGAATTTAGACTGCAGTACCTATTTCCACCACAAGCTGTCATTCTTACAGACAGCACTTTTAACAATAATAAAGTCAATAGGCCTGTCAATCCTATCAGTAGTAGCAACGTCCGTTGATTGGTCCAACTCGCTGTTACCATAGAAATGTTTACCTTACTGGCGAACGGCTAGAGCTACCCGTGGCTGTTGTTGTGGTCTACCGGGTTGCTCTGAGCTACCCGTGGCTGTTGTTGTGGTCTACCGGGTTGCTCTGAGCTACCCGCGGCTGTTGTTGTGGTCTACCGGGTTGCTCTGAGCTACCCGCGGCTGTTGTTGTGGTCTACCGGGTTGCTCTGAGCTACCCGCGGCTGTTGTTGTGGTCTACCGGGTTGCTCTGAGCTACCCGCGGCTGTTGTTGTGGTCTACCGGGTTGCTCTGAGCTACCCGCGGCTGTTGTTGTGGTCTACCGGGTTGCTCTGAGCTACCCGCGGCTGTTGTTGTGGTCTACCGGGTTGCTCTGCGCTACCCGCGGCTGTTGTTGTGGTCTACCGGGTTGCTCTGAGCTACCCGCGGCTGTTGTTGTGGTCTACCGGGTTGCTCTGAGCTACCCGCGGCTGTTGTTGTGGTCTACCGGGTTGCTCTGAGCTACCCGCGGCTGTTGTTGTGGTCTACCGGGTTGCTCTGAGCTACCCGCGGCTGTTGTTGTGGTCTACCGGGTTGCTCTGAGCTACCTGCGGCTGTTGTTGTGGTCTACCGGGTTGCTCTGAGCTACCCGCGACTGTTGTTGTGGTCTACCGGGTTGCTCTGAGCTACCCGCGGCTGTTGTTGTGGTCTACCGGGTTGCTCTGAGCTACCCGCGGCTGTTGTTGTGGTCTACCGGGTTGCTCTGAGCTACCCGCGGCTGTTGTTGTGGTCTACCGGGTTGCTCTGAGCTACCCGCGGCTGTTGTTGTGGTCTACCGGGTTGCTCTGAGCTACCCGCGGCTGTTGTTGTGGTCTTCCGGGTTGCTCTGAGCTACCCGTGGCTGTTGTTGTGGTCTACCGGGTTGCTCTGAGCTACCCGCGGCTGTTGTTGTGGTCTACCGGGTTGCTCTGAGCTACCCGCGGCTGTTGTTGTGGTCTACCGGGTTGCTCTGAGCTACCTGCGGCTGTTGTTGTGGTCTACCGGGTTGCTCTGAGCTACCCGCGACTGTTGTTGTGGTCTACCGGGTTGCTCTGAGCTACCCGCGGCTGTTGTTGTGGTCTACCGGGTTGCTCTGAGCTACCCGCGGCTGTTGTTGTGGTCTACCGGGTTGCTCTGAGCTACCCGCGGCTGTTGTTGTGGTCTACCGGGTTGCTCTGAGCTACCCGCGGCTGTTGTTGTGGTCTACCGGGTTGCTCTGAGCTACCCGCGGCTGTTGTTGTGGTCTACCGGGTTGCTCTGCGCTACCCGCGGCTGTTGTTGTGGTCTACCGGGTTGCTCTGAGCTACCCGCGGCTGTTGTTGTGGTCTACCGGGTTGCTCTGAGCTACCCGCGGCTGTTGTTGTGGTCTACCGGGTTGCTCTGAGCTACCCGCGGCTGTTGTTGTGGTCTACCGGGTTGCTCTGAGCTACCCGCGGCTGTTGTTGTGGTCTACCGGGTTGCTCTGAGCTACCCGCGGCTGTTGTTGTGGTCTACCGGGTTGCTCTGAGCTACCCGCGGCTGTTGTTGTGGTCTACCGGGTTGCTCTGAGCTACCCGCGGCTGTTGTTGTGGTCTACCGGGTTGCTCTGAGCTACCCGCGGCTGTTGTTGTGGTCTACCGGGTTGCTCTGAGCTACCCGTGGCTGTTGTTGTGGTCTACCGGGTTGCTCTGAGCTACCCGCGGCTGTTGTTGTGGTCTACCGGGTTGCTCTGAGCTACCCGCGGCTGTTGTTGTGGTCTACCGGGTTGCTCTGAGCTACCCGCGGCTGTTGTTGTGGTCTACCGGGTTGCTCTGAGCTACCTGCGGCTGTTGTTGTGGTCTACCGGGTTGCTCTGAGCTACCCGCGGCTGTTGTTGTGGTCTACCGGGTTGCTCTGCATCAGGACGTAGACAGCCATACCTCCGCTTTCACGCTTCCCACTTGAGAGTTTTTATTTACCATCCGAACCACATCGTCATATGTGAGTTCAGGCAGGTTGCGGCGCTAACCGGAAGAGCCGTATCCCTACTAAAAGACGTATTTTCGGTCTTAAATTTTTCCGTGGCCTATTCAGAGCTGTAGATCCATGTTTAGCCCACTGTATGACACATTATCTTTAACAGACATTTGAAAAGTCAAACAGTCTAAAATAATGAGGAATAACAAGCTTTGCATGTAGGAAATAATTACAAGACATCACGACTGTTCACAACTGATTTTGTTTTTGTGCAGGCTTTCATTCAATCAGCCCAGTGTAGTGGGGTAAGAACATAAACTGTTCTTTTTTTTATACCCTACATCAGGGATGGGCAACTTTGGTCCTGGAGGGCCACTATCCTACAGAGTTTAGCTCCAACCCTGAAAAAAATCACCTGCCTGTAACTTTCTAGTAATCCTGAAGACCTTGATTAGCTTGTGTTTGATTAAGGTTGAAGCTAAACTCTATAGACCATTTTGCTAGATGTAAACAACACTGGTCCAGAAACACTTTCTGTTTCAGTTTGTAACTGTTTTCTTTATTTCACATGTAAAAAAAACATCTTAAAGATGTTGTTCAGCTTTTTGATTCAGTTTTACATGTTCAGTTGGTTGTATTTTATCCCAGCTTTTGTGTAGTGTTAAACTGAAACAGGAAGTGCTTCTGGACCAGTGTTGTTTACATCTTGCAAAATGGTCTATAGGACAGTGGCCCTCCAGAACCGAAGTTGCCCATTGCTGGCATACATATAATTTCTTTTATACTACTATGCATTTGTATTTCATACATATGTGTGTGAATTTCTTTGTTTAAAACAGCCCAGATGGCCAAGTTGTTCCCTTGACCCCATGGTTGGCCCCAGTTGTATGGGAAGGAACTTTTGATCCCACTTTGATTGATTCAATCTACAAACAACAAAACATCACCATAGCAACTACAGTCTTCGCTCTTGGAAAGTGAGTTCATATATCTCTCCTATCTCTGATCCTCATTGACTTTAAATGTAAACAATTCTAAACAAATAATAATGAATGAACTTTCAGCAATGCTATTAGGTAACCAGACATTTTTTTCTGTAATACGGTCTTACGGGCTCAGGCACAATTATTTTATTTTATTTTCACTGTTACAAATCCAGACAAAAAAATGTCTGGTTACCTAATAGCATTGCTAGGAAGAATGGGTTCAGGCACTTTTTTTTTATTTTCACTGTTACGTCCCAGATGTAAAGTTGTCTAGGTTAAAGGAGTAAACAGTGAAAATAAAATAAAATAAATGTTCCTGAGCCCATTCCTAGCCCTGTACAACAGACACATCCAATTCAACTCAAATTTATTAACAGAGTATGTACAATTGACAAAATGAAACAAAAAGAAATGAACCAAGCAAACCTCAGGAGGGGGTAAAGCCAAAATAATGAACACAAATACCCTCTGACTAGTATTAATCTGTCAAAAGGAAACAAATAAACAACAGAAAGTTACACTAATCCCTAACTAGCCAAAAACAGGAGAAAAGGTATTACAAAAATTAAAATAGGCACCCACCTCCCTACAGCTTCCAGACCGTTTGGTATTCAAGAATAAAGTCACAACAATAAACACAAAAAGACGTGGTAGTAGGCTACAATAAGCTTTAGCTTGGAGAACAATAAGAACAGTCTTAATGTTGTACAACACAAGAGCAAGCAAGTAAACCAACAAATGAAGGACAGTCACAACACTTGAATCACAGAATTCTTCTTTTTCTTCTTTGGATTTTTATGGCAGCTGGCATCCATTGAGCTGCATTACTGCCATCTTCAGGCTTTATCTATCCTGTACACTTCCCTATCTGGTAGAGCTGCAGAGTTACAGAGAGAGAGAAAGAAAACAAACACAAAACCTCAGCACTGCCGTAACACAACCACTGAATGTAACACTGGCCAATATCAAAATTTTTTAAAGGCTAAGTGCTACACACGGGCTAATAATTGTCTTTAATAAATATATCTTTATTTGAAATCAAATAATTTGCATGGTCTCCCCTCTCTGTTGCATAAGCCTGCGCTGGCAATGTGTAACACTAATCAGCGGCCATTAGCAGAATTGCCCAGAATGGGCTACAACAACTCAACCTGTGAGAAATCGAAAGGACATAAGTACTCGTTCATTCAACTTTCGACCTATAACCCATGTTGAACTTACAAAACCTAGAATCAAATCTGAGATTTCTCAACGGCAATTGGGTGAAAGAGACAAATTTAGCCATCTAGCTCCAAAGACTCCCATTCATTTTGCACTTGGACGATCGCCCCCCAGTGGAACTCTGTTTGAACTACAACCAAAATTCAGTACAACACGACTTTTTGTAAGGCCTACAAAATCGATTCAAAGACGGCGTTCGATTTGAGGCGAAGGTCTGATGCGTGTTCCGTCTTTCCCATGGCAAAGTGATTTTTAATTAAATTCAACACATTTAATCTTATGTATTAACTCGTTTCATCTGATTCCATAAAATGAAAAAGGTTTAACAATGATATCTGTGCATCATTAAATACATGTTAATGTTTTACTTTTCCTTTTAACTTAAATTCAAAGTCTGTTAGAATAATCAAATGTAACAATTTATTGTGTCAGATAAATGTATTATTACAATTCCATAATCAATTTAAAGATAATCAATGCAAACGAATCAAAGTTCTAGAAGAAAGAAGAACATATTTTACCTGACATGTGGCTACGTGAGGAGCAGTGGCGTAGCCACGAGGGGGCCTGGGTGGGCCTAGGCCCCCTCATTTACATGTCCGGTCCCCTCAGATTTCTGATTGCTTAAAAAAAAAAAGTTGTTTTATTAGGATTGATAGATTGACCAATCAAAATGCTGCGCGGTAAAATGCGGCTTATTTTCAAACTTGATTTGTTTATATAACGTGTTGCGCGTAACGTACGCTGTCATCTTCATCTTTGCATGAGAGTTAATATGCCGTGACAATGGCAAGCGCTCAAACTCAAAGTACAATATTACACTTTTTTTAAAAAGCACGGAAAGATCAACTTGATGTATATATAAATAATGTTGCCCCCTCATTTAAAGACGGGACCCCCCAAAAATAAAATTCTGGCTACGCCCCTGGTGAGGAGAGTCGTGATACTCTCCGTCAGGGGCTATTCTGAATACAGACAACAGCCCTGAACTCTCCTATGCATTTCCCTATAGACCATTTCACAAGATGTAAACAACACTGGTCCAGAAGCACTTTCTGTTTCAGTTTTTTAACACTACATAAAAGCTGGGATAAAATACAACCAAAAAGTTAAACAAACATCTTTAAGATGTTTTCTTTACATGTGAAATAAAGAAAACAGTTACAAACTGAAACAGGAAGTGCTTCTGGACCAGTGTTGTTTACATCTTGTGAAATGGTCTACCTTATTTGATATTTAAAGGGTAACTAAAGCCCTGGTCAGAGCCTGACTCCACCCACTGGCAATATTTGAAAATGCTGAAAAAGTGGGCTGACCCCAGCGGAGATAGAGGGGACGAAATAGATGCTAAAACACTTTATCCTGATCGTTTTCAATACTCACAATTGCAATTCCTGACTCCCTACAGTGGTTTTGACGACACAAGGTGGTTTTTATACTGCCAAGGGCGTAGCTCACGTGGTGAGCTAAAACCTTCGTACCACGAAGTGTGGAACATCCAATAGGAAAATTCAACTGCAGTAGCCACTGTTCAACCTGAAGAGGGCAGCACTAAGATGTTTTTACACCATATATTGTAGAAATAGAACACTTTATAAACAAATGTCAAAAAAGCTACTCGAATCAATGACTAGTATTAATAAAGATCCATTCTTACAGATCATTAACTAAAAAAAGTTGGTTAAGTGTTTAGTTACTCTTTAAATCATCAGGTTACAGTGAAAAGTTACTGTATTCCCCCAACATACTTACTGGAGGAAGATGATGACCATCTGCTAAGAACAGTGGAAATGAGCATTTACACATTTGGAATACCTAGAGACCACATTGCTTTGTGTGCCAGTTATTCCCTGAACTTCTTAAAAACCTTATTACCTTTTCTTTTACTTCTTTGGAAATGAGACATTATTACCAGTCACACTGAGACCTTTAAAATGATACTAAACAGTCCTTAAAGATTATCACATTCACATTAAAACCATATATATTCTTGTGTGAGTTTTCAGTGTTACTGACTGCGAGAGAAAATGTTGATAAGATGCTCAGAGGAAGGGGGTAGGGGGTCAAATGTTAATCTGCAAGCAATGCCATTGTCTTTAGAGGCCACTGGTCAGATATTTTCTCTTTAACCAGTTTTCCAGTTTTACAACTTAATAGGGAGTGGCCAGGCTTTCCATAGACATGATTTGACTGAGATAAGGTACATGCAAATGCAAGTCCTTAAATCTAAACCACTCCACCCAAAAAGGGACACAAAGGAAGATAGTTTGAAGAACAATTGGAACTTTGGCACCATTTAACTCCATAGTATTTTTTTTCTACTATGGAAGTCATTGGTGCCAAACAACAGTTTGGTTCCAATCGTTCTTCAAAATATCTTCCTTTGTGTTCAGAAGAAGAAAGAAACTCATACAGGTTTGCAACAACTTGAGGGTGAGTAAATGAACAGAATTTTCATTTTTGGGTGGAGTATCACTTTAACACTAACAAGCTAGCCGCTGGGCGTTTCTCAAAACCAAGAATGCAAAGAAAGGACTTGTGTTCTTGGGAAGAATGCTCTTGCTAGTTGTTCTTGGAAGAACAAACTGACGAGGTGACGAGCACACTGAATGCTGCTGACAGTTTGAGACGATGTGTTCTTGCTGGTATTGCGCAATAGTACCCCCGCACAGACGCCCTCTGCAGTGCCCAAACATAACGAGAATTATTGACGATAACATCCAGGCTTTATCGACCAAGCCTACCCTCAGCCTAAGGGATTACTCTACATACACTACAATGTAATGTATATTCATAACAATAAAGCAACACCTGTCTCATTTTAATTCTGCTTCTGTTGTTTGTTTGTGTACATCACAAGCCAACGGTGGGAAAAAACGCTGGTAATATTCCGGTAACTTAAAATTGACCTGCCTCTCTCTGCTTCCCGCTCCTTCCTCGAATGCCGAATGAATGATGGGACGGTTACCAACCGATGCATCCTCGGTAAAATGGGAGTGTCAAGAACACATTCGGGATTTTTAACCGTTCTTGCCAAAATGCAAACTTGTCTATTGGGACAGTACTTGGGTGACTGATGACGTTTCACAAGTCCCCAAGAACACAAGTACAGACAAGAAGGCATATTGAGAAACGGCCACAGTTGATTTCATTGAACCAATAATGAGCAGTGAATTAGGAGGAAGATGTGGAAGGTCTTGTGCTCTTCCTCTGCTGGACACTCTGTGGTGTGACAGATTTATTACTTTACAATTTTTGTCACTCTCCCTCTCTGTTTTTCAGGTATACACAGTTTCTCAAAGATTTCCTTGAGTCTGCAGAGCAGAATTACTTTGTTGGACTTCGTGTGCATTATTATGTGTTCACTGATCAACCAGAACAGGTTCCTGCAGTGAAACTGAGTGAAGAACATCATCTGACGGTGTTGACTGTGCCTAGTTCTAACAGATGGCAGGAGATCACTTTGAGCAGGATGGCAAGACTAGAGGAACTGATTGAGAGTCGATTGGTCAATGAAGCCGACTATGTTTTTAGCCTTGATGTGGATGCAAAGTTCTATGGTCGCTGGGGGGTGGAGACTTTGGGTCGTCTGGTAGGTGTGATACATCCTGGTTATTATCAAACACCCCGTGAACAATACCCATATGAGCGCAGACCAGAGTCTCAAGCTTTTATTCCTTCTTCCGAGGGTGATTATTATTATGGCGGGGCTGTGATCGGTGGCTTTGTGAAAGACGTACATGAGGTTGCTAAAACCTGCCGGGAGCAGCTAGACATTGACTCATCTAAATCCATTGAGGCAGCATGGCAGGAGGAGTCTCATTTGAACAAGTACTTCCTTTATAACAAACCCAGCAAGGTGCTCTCACCTGAATATCTGTGGCAGGACTTCAAACCTCACACAAAGGAGGTCAAAATCATTCGCTTTTCTCAAGTTATTAAAAACTACGCTGCTGTTCGACCAAACCCATATAGCAGCTGTTAAATTAAACATGCAAAAAAAAAAAAAAACCTGCCAAATATTTTTCCATCAGCTACACAGCATTTGGAATTGAAATAAATATGATCAGACTTATTTTTTACTAATCTCAAATGCTGGTTATCAGCACTTGCATATAAGGGAGAGGCAAAGAAGTGCACTTTGCATCTATAAAAACTGGTGAAAGTTTATATAAATTTGATTATTTATATATAAAAAAAGCTAAAACCTTATCTAACTTTGGGGGTAATGTAATTCTTATTGTGAATAACAAATAACTAGTATTTGTACATTGTTTCATATTTATTTTTATTTGTATCACTTATATTTTATTTGTGGGTTGGGTTTCGTCATAGACTATGTCACTATGGTCATGTGTTCTGTCTCTTATTTATGTGGAAGGAATGTCACTGATCCTTAACAGATCAAAGTTTACATAAAAAAAAAATTGTCATTATTTTTTTCACTTTTGCACATAGGAAAAGGGCCTTCCCCCATGTTTTTTTATTTACAAAAAGGTTGAGAGAGCGAGAGCGGGTATGGATGGAATAACCAAATCACAGATGTAATCTGGAGCCAACCCTTGTAGCCCACAGCTAATAAAATCAATATGTGATTGAACTGGAAGCCAGTGCAGTTGCTGGAGGAGTATAAGTCAAATATGGCATTCCGATCGGCTCTTTAAAATGGCACTTACTCCATGCCAAACATCCATATCCATATAGTGAACGTGCGTCTGCCATACTCTGGAGCTATCAATTTTTCCTTATTTTCTCATTCATTTATTGTTATAGACGCTATCATAGATAATCTTATTTTAGCACAGTTTAAATCTCGGACTACATTTGATATACTTATTTCTATAATGCTGAATTTCTGTTAATGTACAATACATTTGGTATCTCAATCCCAATGATATATGTAACGTTGTTAATAAAAGTCTATTGTCATGTATTTTGATTAAACAATCTTTCGAGAGACATAAAATGGGCTAATAAAATTCAGAGAAAGTGGGTCTTAATATTATTTATTTGTTTGTTGAAGATTTGTTGCTATGCTGCTCTGCAGCAGGCGGTCTACATGTCTCAAGTTCACTCATAGATGCTGTATTTTGCATTAATTAACTATTCAGAAACCATTTTAGAGCTTATTGGATTTTAAACTAAAATTAGTAAGGCTACTTCTGGACTAGGCCAGGCACGTGCACAGGTAGGGCTCAATTTTCAATAAATCAATGCTATTGGTCACCCAAAAGTCTATCTGTCTGTTTTAAAATGAAAGCTCTTAAAAAGAGCTGTGCAAATCTTGTTCGATCCTCAAACTGTCAGTAAAGCTAATAACTCCGCCCCCTCTGTCTTGACCGAATCAACTGAGCCTCTGCAGCGACCGCACAGCAGACAGGAGCTGAACGAACTTTTGCAACGGTAAACGAAGATCTTGTTTGAATAAGTACTAAGCACGTTGTCTAAAAGTTCATATTTTACTTATTTGATGACTGATTAAGAATTGTGGGAGTTGAGAGAGAGGGACCTGCGCTAGCATTTGCCATAGTCATAGCCAATACATAGGACTTAAATAGCCTGTGCATAGTATACAGTAGCATTTAAATTTTTTTTTATAAAATGCGATTTTGACCAAATGTGTTTTACAACAGGAAAACTGAGCGCCTATATATAGCTGTAACAATCTAGTTGGTAAGCTGTTAATGAAAATGTAGCCTAATGATGCCGGCCGCCGGACACCGGCATCTTAGATAAATCATAAGCACGGGTACGCCCTGAGCGACTAGAACCACAAAGCGACAAGTGATCCTCATCGCGGCCTAGGTAACATATATTTCTATATTTCTTGATTTATGATTGCTGATGCACTTAATTTATTAACATTTAATCATGTTATGGTTATAATATTAAATTATGGTTAATTCAAGGCTGTTAATATGCACGTATTCACTATGTATTTTATTTTTTTTTAAATTATTCTATAGGCCTAGTATTCTATACTCTTCGGTCATCCTCACATGTATAGGCTAAATGTAGTAAAACATGGTTTTACTACAGTAATGTTGTAGTAGTAACTAAAAAATAAAAACAGCAAATAAGATCACTGTGAAATCTTTACATTTTTTAATGCAGAATGTAATTCATGATTTTTAATTCATTCCAAGGCTTAATTTATTTGATCCAAAATAAGCAAAAACATTTTTTTTTTCCAGTTTTTTTTATTGTGAAATATTTTAACAATTTAAAATACTTGTTTTCTATTTGAATATATTTTAAAATGTAATTTAATTCTGTGCATGGTCAAAGCTGAATTTTCAGCACCATTACTCCAGGTCAGTACTCTTCAGTGTCACGTGATCCTTCAGAAATGCTTTTCACTGCAACTATACTTTTCACACTACTTCATATTTTTTTTCTGTTCTTGAGCCGGTTAAGAA